TTTCAGCAGCGTCAAGCGGTTTGACCCGCTGACAAAAACGTGGCAGCAGGTCGCACCCATGCACTCGCGGCGCTGCTACGTGAGCGTCGCTGTTCTCAACAACCTCCTCTACGCCATGGGAGGGTTTGACGGACACACGCGCCTCAGCACAGCAGAACGCTACGAGCCAGAGACGAACCAGTGGGCTCTGATTGCCCCCATGCACGAGCGGAGAAGCGATGCGAGTGCGACCACGCTGCATGAGAAGGTAAACGGGCCGCGAGATCACAGAACCCCGTTAAGGCTGGAGTCCGGTGAGCAGGACCAGGAACCAACCAAGCCCCAGTGCCCAGCACTACCCAGTCAGCACCTGCCTGTCCCTTCCTACGGCACAGAGCCAGGCAGGGACCCTCGCGGAGCTCTGCCAGTGAGACACACGGCTACTGCTCCCAGTTCGTCACCTAGAGAGAAAAGAGGAGCTGCGGGAGCAGGAAAGGGAACAAATGCTCCCGTTAACAAAGAGGAGGGAAGTTCCCGTAAACCTCATGCCTTAAATCCTGGAGCTCCCGATACAAGGCTCTCTAAGAGGCAGCAACCGACTGGCACAGTGGAGACGCAGACCAGAGCGGTAGAATCCCCCCAAAACACTCCACCAAAATCCAGCCATGCCATTCATTTTCTCCTCGATGCGTTCTCCCTCCCAGGCTCTCACTGCCCTGCTCACCCTTTTTTCCTCCTGTGAACAGGTGTATATATGTGGAGGGTTCAACGGAACCGAATGCTTGATCACAGCCGAAGCGTATGATCCCGCAACACAGCAATGGACCCTGATAGCCCCCATGAGCAGCAGGAGAAGCGGAGTAGGAGTCATTGCATACGGAAACCAAGTGTATGCGGTAAGGGAGCAGTGGCACCGCCACTGTGACACCACCCAGCACTTGTAGTCCTTCTTTTTGCTCATCGGCATCTCCTGGATTTCAGGCTGGCCATTTGCTTGTAAGGGCCATTTAGGGAAGGAAGCCAGAGCCTGAACGGTTGCTGTGTCTCCTGCGGGTATTCCCACCTGCACACTTTTGGGTACGGAAAACTTGTGCATCACTTTGCTGCAGCGGCAGCAAAGAAATTGCTTACAAGTAGTCAGCATGCGACTTGCGCGCGGAATGGTTCGGCCGCCTCAGCGGGTGAGGAATGGCCCGTTTCAACTCTGTACCTCTGGCATTCCCAGGTCGGAGGATTTGACGGAGTCAACCGCCTCCGCAGCGCGGAAGCTTACAACCCCGCTGCCAACATGTGGCGCACAGTCCCCAACATGTTCAGTCCTCGCAGCAACTTTGGCATTGAAGTGGTGGACGATCTTCTGGTTGTGGTTGGCGGCTTTAACGGGTTTACTACTACTTTCCATGTGGAGTGTTACGACGAAAACACTAATGAGTGGTACGATGTTCAGGACATGGGCATAAACCGTAGCGCTCTGAGCTGCTGTGTGGTGCCCGCTCTACCCAACGTCAGGGAGTACGTGGCCAGACGAGACTACTACGCGGACAACTCTTCGAGGGAAGTCGGCGTCATTTCTTCAACAGGTAGCCTGCCTGTATAAACAGCTCCGCTTAGCTAATAAAGCCTTTTGAGCAGCAAGGGAACACAGTCCCTTATTCAAACAGAAAAACAATTCATACAGACCAAAAGAGTCGTTAGTACTGAAAACTTGCACTCTCTG